TATATATATATATATATATATATATATATATCTACACACACACGTACAATTCCCATGAAGACTCAGTGATGGCATTTCTATGTGTCCTTAATGGGGAATGTTTATCTTCCTTTACAATGTCTGATAGTCATAATGCAGCTAAACAGCCTTGACATTTGTCCTGCAGATATTAAGATCTAAGAGATTGAAGATTGAATTTTATTAGTCCTGGCTACATTTACTTGGAAGTAAGTTTTACTGATTTCAAGGAGTCTTCAAACAAAGGTTGTTTCACATCATGAATGACATTGAATACCAAACGCCAATACATAACTGGATACGCTGGTCTTTTTAAAGCTCCAGGTTAGATGCTTGTTGTCTTTCATGGTATTTATTTATTTATTTATTAAAATGGCAGAAAAATTGTTTAGGGCTGTAACTTTGCCCTATTAGACAACTGAGGGAAATCTGCAGTTATGGAATCCTAAGACCTCATTCTCTGAACTTATAAATGTAATAGAAAGGGTTGGTTTCATTTAACATTACCCATGCCTGAGATATTTTTAAGAATCCATTTGTATCAGTGATTTTGTGACCCAACTTTTTCTGCATGTTGTAGCAGTTTTAATATGCCTCAAAACTTGCCCGTCCTCTCATTAACTGATTTCCTGAGAAGTAACTCTTTAGCCACTGTTTCTCCAAATGCTGCAAATGTCCAACGCCTCTCTTCCCCACCCAGCCCTAACTTCTCATTTTCAATTCTACCATCAGAGTTAATATTCTCAACTCAATCACTCCCCCCCCCCAAAGAACGCAACACCCGTTAGACCCGTAAAAGACACATCTGCTTTTTTCTTTTTAAGCTCACTGTCTAAAATAGAAAAGAAAGGAAAGGAATAGTAGTAGTAGTAGGGAGGGGGGATCCGCTTTTTGAGAGGTGTTATCTCGTGGAACAGTCTTGATTTTGCAGCATGTATAAGAAGATGAGTAGATTGTTTTCTTGTTATCACTGATATTTGGTGTAAAAATTGCAGGTTAGTTAAGAAGAGAAAACAGGTTGAAAAAGAAACGAAGAGAGTTCGCTGAGGTTCTGAGGTACCTGCACTGTAACTGCATTCATTAGTCGGCACCTGGACGCTTTCAAACAGATGTCTTTCTCTTAATTATTATTATTTTTCTCTTTTCAATACAGTAGAGCAATATGCTGGTAAATTGATTCAATCAAAACAACAACAACAACACAACAAATAATAACAATAGCAAGAAAAGTCAAGAAAATAGCAGCTGCATTCATGTATATGTATGCGTGTGTGTGTGTTGAATTCTGCAATTTTTTTTTTTTCGGAAAAAAAAAATCCACTGCGTCTGAAGAGACCAGTGGGGAAAAAAAAAAGGCAAACAAGGATTTAGATACTTGACTCTTTGGGTAGCAAATCTACGTTGGTGACAGAGGTCACGATGGAAACAAGGCAGTCGAGGGTACTACCATTGGCTGATTTGCGAATCTGGGCGATGCGCTCTTCCACACAACCGGCTGACAGTCTGGCCTCCGCATCATGATCCCAGCATTCTTCAATTGTAACACACAGCTGGGCTACGCCCTGTGTGCCCAAAGAGAAAGAAAGAAAGAAAGAAAGAAAGAAGGGATTAGCCAGAGAAACTGGACAAATGTAGCTTCAGGATGCCAGATGTACAGGTGGCATTTGTGGTACAACTGTAATGCAGTTTCTCCATTAAGGTTGTAAGTCGTTAACAGTCACAAAACAAGCCAGTCATGTGACTGACCAGATTTTACTAATTTCTGTATATGGTGATTGCTAAACAAATAGCATTAGCACTTATAGTTATACAGCCCTCTCTAAGCGGTTTACAAAGTCAGCCTATTGCTCCCAACACTATTAACAGTTCTAACTATCATGAAATTTCTCCTTAGTTCTAGGTTGCTTCTCTCCTTGATTAGTTTCCAACCATTGCTTCTTGTCCTGCCCTCAGGTGCTTTGGAGAATAGCTTGACTCCCTCTTCCTTGTGGCATCCCCTGAGATATTGGAGCATTGCTATCATGTCACCCCTAGTCCTTCTTTCCATAAGACTAGATATACCCAATTCCAGCAACCATGCCTCATATGTTTTAGCCTCCAGCCCCCTAAGGAAATAGCAATAGCAGTTAGACTTATATACCGCTTCACAGTGCTTTACCACCCTCTCTAAGCGGTTTACAGAGTCAGCCAATTGCTCCCAATGATTTGGGTCCTCGTTTTATCCACCGCAGAAGGATGGAAGGCTGAGTCAACCTTGAACCTGGGGAGATATGAACTGCCAAATTGCAGACAGCAGAAGTAGCCTGCAGTACTGCACTCGAACCACTGCACCACTGTGGCTCAAATGTGAGGGCAAATGCCACGATGGTTAAGCAAATGTCATGGTTGTTGAGTAAACCCATTGTTGGCCATGGTAGGGTTTTGCCAAAAAAAAAAACCCAAAGTGCCAGTAAAGCATGCTAAGGCATCTCATTGATGGATCAACCAAGAGAACCAGAAATGGCTTCTAAAAACATGAAGCAGAAGATACTCTGAAACTATAGGTAGTCCTCAAATTACAACCACTCATTTAGTGACCATTCGGTTACAATGGCACTCTGTTTTTCACACTTAACGATCGTTGCAGTGTCCCCATGGTCACATGATCAAAATCTGACAGCTTGGCAACTGATTCATATTTATGGCGGCTGCAGGGTGACATGATTGACTTTTTGTGACTTTCTGACAAGCAAAAGTCAAGGGGGAAAGCCAGATTCGCTTAACAACCATGTTGCTAATGACTGCAGTGATTCACTTAATGGCTGCAGCAAGAAAGGTTGTAAAATTGGGGGAACACTCACTGAACAACTGTCTTGCTTAACAATGGAAATCTGGGTGGTAAGTTGAGGACTGCCTGAATTGAGTTTTACTAAACCACACTGGGCCCAACCAGCCATGGACATTTTGGGGAAAAAATATAAGCATCAAGAAAGGACCTACAGGATGTTTAAACCAATGGTCCTTGAACACAGGACGCATCTTCTTATGGACCACAATCTCCTGCAGCTCCTCAAGAGATGGGTGCTGGCCAATTTCTTCTTCGAAAGGCAGTAAGTACTCATCCACAGGACCTATTTTTGCAAGAAGAGAAGGCATTGCTACCAAATACAGATCACTGGAAGCAACAGGCAGCTCCGACCAGTTTGCATCTCACCCACTGCTGAACTGAGCTGTAGGCTTTACACAAACATGCACCGATTTGTTACGTCCTTGTTTAAGTGGAATCATTTATTTGAGGTTAATGTTGCAAATCAGCATTGTTAAAGTCATCCACCCAACCCCACAGGGGCAATCAGAGAAGGCTCTTGGTCAGTGGTGGAATTTCTTACTACCCGTTCTGTGGGCATGGCTTGGTGGGCGTGGCAGGGGAAGGTTACTGCAAAATCCCCATTCCCTCCCGACCAGCTGGGACTCAGGAGGCAGAGAATAGATGGGGGTGGGGCTAGTCAGAGGCGGTATTTACCGGTTCTCCGAACTACTCAAAATTTCCGCTACCGGTTGTCCAGAACTGGTCAGAACCTGCTGAATATCACCTCTGCTCTCTGTTTCCCTCCCTTCACTATTACAATCTGCCTGTACATCTCTTCCCTTCCTCCTCAAGGCAACAGTGTGATGTCCATCTTCCAACCAACTCTAGGCAAATGCTTAAAGAACTACTTACTGTATTCTTATTAGTTCTCCAAGAGTAAAGATTTACTAAAGACAGGATGTTTTAAGAAAGGTTCTCTAAAAGACAGAGGTTGAACTGCAAGAGTTTGGTAAAAAGCAGGGGAAGAACAGAATTATTCTATTTCAGATTCATATCATTTTTACATATTTTTGTTCTGAGTTGTTTTTTCCCCAATATTTTTTAAAGCTAAGAAATATATTGTGTTGCTAGGCTACAAGTCAACACCCTTGTCAAGATCAAATCAAATTAGTTTAATTCAGATTTATTTTATTTTAGTGCTTTAATTGGAGTTTGCAAAAAGTGAATCCTAGGAAGATCCTTGAGAAATTTTGATAATAATCTCCATCCCAACTCTCAAAAAATTCAAATCTTACTTTTCTTCATAGCAAGATCATGCTCAGAAATACGACTCAGGAATGTCCTGTTTGGAATTTCACTTATTAGTTTATTAATTCTCGAAGACCTTACAGGACTCATTCTAGCTACCCCTTAAAGAAATTACACTTATAAAATTTATATATGCCAAAATCTAAGTGTTTAGATTTATAAACATCCAAATAACAAAACTAAACTTAGGCTAAGTTCTCTAATAACTTACCTTGGTCTCAGTAGTCTCATATTGGTAGATGAAGCAAAGTTTATAAAAACTTTAGCTTTCTCTAAATCTTCTGCTTTGAAAAAAAGTCTGTTACTTTAAGGAAGACATTTTATACCGTAATTTAAATGTCTTGAAACGCTTACAAATTTCAGGTGTTACCATTATATGGGGTTAGATAGTCTATATAGGTAGGGGAATTATCTTGAGTGACTTGGAGTATCTTTCTCCTGGGAAAAAGATCCACCCAGATGCTCTGAATTAAATCTTCATAAACTAACTTCAAATGGGTTGGACGTAGAGTATTTCTAATTTTTAAGGAAGCAAAAACAGCATGTAAAAAGGACATTGGAGCTCACCATCAGTTGCTGTGCATCTGGAAAGCAACTCCCACAATACCAGGCCCATGGCATACATATCAATTCTCAGGAAGGAATCTCGCTGGAAATTAATTGCTCCTTCCAGAACCTCAGGAGCCATGTATCTTCTGGTTCCCACCTATAATAGACACAGGAATCAGTTACTGGAACTAAACCCATACTTTCAAACTCTGGTTCTTTTTAAAAAGAGAAAGAGAGATAGAAAAACAGAGACAGAGAGAGATGGACGAACAATGAAAAGGAGGAGAGGAAAAAGCAGAAGTAATAGCAATTGTTGTTGATATTACCTTGGCTACAGGTAGTCCTCGAGTTACCACACCTTGTTCAATGTATATTTAGAATTAAGATGTTGCTGAATGAGGGTACTTACAACTGGTCTGTGAAGTTGCAGCTGTCACAGGGTTCTCACGCTGGGTGGTCGGGTGTCCAGCTCGCAATTTTGACGTTGCAGTGAGCCCATGGTCACGATTGCCCTTTGCAACCTCTCCCACTGGCTTCCCATAAGTAGTCAATGGGGAAGCCAGCAGGAAAGGTCAGAGGTTGCTTCCACTGTTTTTTCTCCCAGGGATCTCATACTCTGTGGCACAGACCTTCCTGCCCACCTATGCTCTGCAGCACCTGCCTGCCCCCATGACCCCATTGGTTAGTAGCACTGATGAAATTACCTAGTAGGGTAATGAAACATCTGCAAGAAAACAACCAAGCTCAGAGAGTAGCAAGCACCCCAGTTCAACCTTGAGCTACAAAGATTGTCTTCTATTGGCAAACATTGAACTGTCTACTAACGCATTCTTCATCATTTTGACAAGATCAATGGACTTGCTAATGCTTTCGAAAGAATACAGGTAGTTCTCACTTCCTGATCGCTCATTCAGCGACTGTTCAGAATTACAATGGTGCTGAGAAAAGCTAAATTGTACGGTATCATGTGCATTCAACTATTTTGGCCACCTGATGAGAAGGAAGGACTCCCTGGAGAAAAGCCTATTGCTGGAAAAGACTGAGGGCAAAAGAAGAAGGGGAAGACAGAGAAGGAGGTGGCTGGATGGAGTCACCGAAGCAGTCGGCATGAGCTTGAATGGACTCCAGAGGATGGTAGAGGACAAGAAGGCCTGGAGGAACGTTGTCCATGGGGTCACGATGGGTCGGACACAACTTCTCAACTAACAACAACAAATCATGTGCATACAACAATGGTGACTAGTTTTTTTTTAAATACAGGGCCTAGGCACTACGTGCCAAATAATATAGATTTGTCTTATCTTCACCCGCCTTCCAAATTACACTTGCTAAATGAAGTAGTAAGCTAACCTGCAAGTTTACCTGTCCATGAGTATCTCCTGGAGGCTTCCCGGGTTCAAAGCGTACGGCCAGTCCGAAGTCAGCAAGCACGGCAGTTAAATCATTCTTCAGCAGCACGTTCTTGCTCTTGAAATCCCTGCAAAAAAGAAGAAAAGGATACTTAACGTAGCGCATTATCAACACCCAAGATGATGTGAGATTTCATCTGTGCGGAATTTTTGCCACCAATGCAATCAACGGGTGGATTCAAGCCCAATTTATGAGAAAGACAAAGGGGTGGGGGAATCGGTGAGGATAATATCCAGGCCAACATTGACACAAGGTATGTGCAGTGGCATCCTTCCCTTATGGCTTGTACTCTTAATTCCTCTGCTAGCTTTTTCCTAGAAAGCGGACTTGGCATTTAGCATGTTGCCTGGGCTTTTGATCTCTACCTGGAGTTTCAACTCAGCTGCATAACTTCCTTATCTACCTCTTAAATTAAACCCTTGTGCTTACTAAGCGACTCCTGGAGTTTCCTTCAGTAGGGGTGGGGGAGAACAGGAGGGGAAAAATAAAGAAAGGAGTTGAATATAATTAAATTACAGACTTGAGGCAGCAGATGGTAGACCCACGTGTGCCTGGCATTATAATTCTCTTGCCATCGGTTTAATTGACTGTGGTATCCCAGCCGGTTGGATCACAGGACAAGTGTGGGGCCAAGCAATATAATTAACAAGGGCAGATTCTGTGGTAGGTTTTTTTTTTATCCCCCGTGAAATGCTCTGTCAGAATACGTTACGAAGAGAGATGCCACCATGGAAAGAAAGAGCTCCAGGAAGGGTGGAGGGAAAATGCAATGAATTCCCAGGGTGTACAGTATCCCGAAGGAAAATTGTCCCCCCCCCCCCCCC